TCGGTTTTGGAGTTGCGCCATCTACTTTTAGGGGGACATAAAAGAAAAGGAAGGGTAAGGAACAATATAGAAGAAAGGGAGGAGAAAAGGGAAGAGGATAAGGTCGGAAAAGAGACAAGGGCACTCCAGGTTCCCTGCGGGTCAGAAACATATGGCTACAGCAGGGAAAACAACAGATAGAATGCCTCCCCGGAAACTACAGCAGATATAGACAAATGAAAAAGACATAGAAGAAAAGGAAGGATAAGGAACAATATAGAAGAAAAGGAGGAGAAAAGGGAAGGGGATAAGGTCGGAAAAGAGACAAGGGCACTCCAGGTTCCCTGCGGGTCAGAAACATATGGCTACAGTGGGAAAAACAACAGCTAGAATGCCTCCCCGGAAACTACAGCAGATATAGATCAATGAAAAAGACATAGAAGAAAAGGAAGGGTAAGGAAAAAGAAGATAAGGCTACAGCAGATATAGATCAATGAAAAAGACATAGAAGAAAAGGAAGGGTAAGGAACAATATAGGAGAAAAGGAGGAGAAAAGGGAAGAGGATAAGGTCGGAAAAGAGACAAGGGTACTCCAGGTTCCCTGCGGGTCAGAAACATGTGGTTACAGTGCTGAAAACAACAGATAGAATGCCTCCCTGGAAACTACAGCAGATATAGATCAATGAAAAAAACATAGAAGAAAAGGAAGAGTAATTAAGGAACAATATAGAAGAAAAGGAGGAGAAAAGGGAAGAGGATAAGGTCGGAAAAGAGACAAGGGCACTCCAGGTTCCCTGCGGGTCAGAAACATATGGCTACAGTGGGGAAAACAACAGATAGAATGCCTCCCCGGAAACTACAGCAGATATAGATCAATGAAAAGACATAGAAGAAAAGGAAGGGTAAGGAACAATATAGAAGAAAAGGAGGAGAAAAGGGAAGAGGATAAGGTCGGAAAAGAGACAAGGGCACTCCAGGTTCCCCGCGGGTCAGAAACATATGGCCACAGTGAGAAAACAACAGATAGAATGCCTCCCGGAAACTACAGCAGATATAGATCAATGAAAAAGACATAGAAGAAAAGGAAGGGTAAGTAACAATAAAGAAGAAAAGGAGGAGAAAAGGGAAGAGGATAAGGTCGGAAAAGAGACAAGGGCACTCCAGGTTCCCTGCGGGTCAGAAACATCTGGCTACAGTGCGGAAAACAACAGATAGAATGCCTCCCCGGAAACTACAGCAGATATAGATCAATGAAAAAGACATAGAAGAAAAGGAAGGGTAAGGAACAATATAGAAGAAAAGGAGGAGAAAAGGGAAGAGGATAAGGTCGGAAACGAGACAAGGGCACTCCAGGTTTCCTGCGGGTCAGAAACATTTGGCTACAGTGGGGAAAACAACAGATAGAATGCCTCACCGGAAACTACAGCAGATATAGATCAATGAAAAAGACATATAGAAAGAAGGGTAAGGGGGAACCAATATAGAAAGAAGGAGGAGAAAAGGGAAGAGGATAAGATCGGAAAAGAGACAAGGGCACTCCAGGTTCCCTGCGGTCAGACTAACATATTGCTACATTTGCGAAAAACCGCCAAACGCCCCAAACAGATAGAATGCCTCCCCGGAAACTACAGCAGATATAGATCCATGAAAAAGACATAGAAGAAAAGGAAGGGTAATAAACAATATATAAGAAAAGGACGGAGAAAGTTGGAATAGGATCAGATCGGAAAGAGACACAGAGGGCACGCCATGTTCCCTGCGGGTCAGAAACATATGGCTACAGCAGGGAAAACAACAGATAGAATGCTTCCCCGGAAACTACAGCAGATATAGATCAATGAAAAAGACATAGAAGAAAAGGAAGGGTAAGGGACAATATAGAAGAAAAGGAGGAGAAAAGGAAAGAGGATAAGATCGGAAAAGAGACAAGGGCACTCCAGGTTCCCTGCGGGTCAGACACATATGGCTACAGTGCGGAAAACAACAGATAGAATGCCTCCCCGGAAACTACAGCAGATATAGATCAATGAAAAAGACATAGAAGAAAAGGAAGGGTAAGGAACAATACAGAAGAAAAGGAGGAGAAAAGGGAAGAGGATAAGGTCGGAAAAGAGACAAGGGCACTCCAGGTTCCCTGCGGGGCAGAAACATATGGCTACAGTGGGGAAAACAACAGATAGAATGCCTCCCCGGAAACTACAGCAGATATAGATCAATGAAAATTAAAGGACCGGATAACCCCACAAGTCAACTTCTTCCAACAAGCAACAAAAGAAAGGCAAAGACGGCATGGGGTAAGCAAGAAAGAGAAAAGAGATGGTGAAGGATTGGTGTGGAGTAAGTTATGTGTGGACGAGTATGTGTGAGTAAGTTGTGTATGGATGAGTTGTGTTTGTGTGTGAGGTGTGTGTGTGTGCGAGTATGTGTGTGTGGTGTGCGGCCACGATCAAAGATGCCCCACGCCAGGAAGTGCGGCGAAGGGCAATCGATGCGTGACCATTGATTATGTGTCCGCAAACGTACAGCGCAGACCATCACGAAAACGGATGGCCCACGACTGGCGTTTGGATGATGTGTGTGTGTGGGTGTGTGTGTGTGTGCGTGGGCGTGTATGTGTGCGTGCGTGCGTGCGTGCGTGTGTGTGTGTGTGTTTGTCTGTGTGTGTGTGTTTGTCTGTGTGTGTGTGTGTTTGTCTGTGTGTGTGTGTGGGTGTTTGTCTGTGTGTGTGTATGTGTGTGTGAGTTTGTGCCACGCCTGCCACGTGAAACGACGGTGGATGTGAGGTTGTGCTACGCCTGCCACGCAAAGTGCCGCGGCGTCACAGGCGCCAAATCCGGGCCCAAGGGCGCCACCCAGTACCATAAGTGCCACGCCTGCCACGCAAAACGACGGTGGATGTGAGTTTGTGCGACGAAATGACCTATTCACTTCACTGACTAGTTGTTGTGGATGTGAGTTTGTGCCACGCCTGCCACGTGAAACGACGGTGGATGCGAGTTTGTGCCACGCCTGCCACGCGAATCGAAGGTGGATGTCACCAAGTGCCATGCCTGCCACGCCAAGTGCCGCGGCGTCCCGGGCGCCCAAGCCGGACCAAGCGCGCCACCCAGTGCCATCTGTCCCACGCCTGCCACGCCAAACGATGGTGGATGCGAGTTCGTGCCACGCCTGCCACGTGAATCGAAGGTGGATGTCACCAAGTGCCACGCCTGCCACGCAAAGTGCCGCGGCGTCCCGGGCGCCCAAGCCGGACCAAGCGCGCCACCCAGTGCCATCTGTCCCACGTCTGCCACGCAAAACGACGGTGGATGCGAGTTTGTGCGACGCCTGCCACGTGAAACGAGGGTAGATGTCACCAAGTGCCACGCCTGCCACGCAAAGTGCCGCGGCGTCCCGGGCGCCCAAGCCGGACCAAGCGCGCCACCCAGTGCCATCTGTCCCACGCCTGCCACGCCAAACGACGGTGGATGCGAGTTCGTGCCACGCCTGCCACGTGAATCGAAGGTGGATGTCACCAAGTGCCACGCCTGCCACGCAAAGTGCCGCGGCGTCCCGGGCGCCCAAGCCGGACCAAGCGCGCCACCCAGTGCCATCTGTCCCACGCCTGCCACGCAAAACGACGGTGGATGCGAGTTTGTGCAACGCCTGCCACGTGAAACGAGGGTAGATGTCACCAAGTGCCACGCCTGCCACGCAAAGTGCCGCGGCGTCCCGGGCGCCCAAGCCGGACCAAGCGCGCCACCCAGTGCCATCTGTCCCACGCCTGCCACGCAAAACGACGGTGTGTGTGTGTGTGTGTGGGTGTGTGTGCGTGTGTGCGTGCGCGCGTGTGTGTGTGTGTGGACAAAGTGTGTGTTGAGAAAGTGTGTGTGGACAAAGTGTGTGTGGACAAAGTGTGTGTGTGTGTGTGGACAAAGTGTGTGTTGAGAAAGTGTGTGTGGACAAAGTGTGTGTGGACAAAGTGTGTGTTGATAAAGTGTGTGTTGATAAAGTGTGTGTTGATAAAGTGTGTGGACAAAGTGTGTGTGGACAAAGTGTGTGTGGACAAAGTGTGTGTTGATAAAGTGTGTGTTGATAAAGTGTGTGGACAAAGTGTGTGTGGACAAAGTGTGTGTGGACAAAGTGTGTGTGGACAAAGTGTGTGTTGATAAAGTGTGTGTGGACAAAGTGTTGTTGGTGTGTGTGTGTGTGGACAAAGTGTTGTTGGTGTGTGTGTGTGTGTGGACAAAGTGTGTGTTGAGAAAGTGTGTGTTGACAAAGTGTGTGTGGACAAAGTGTGTGTTGATAAAGTGTGTGTTGACAAAGTGTGTGGACAAAGTGTGTGTGGACAAAGTGTGTGTGGACAAAGTGTGTGTGGACAAAGTGTGTGTTGATAAAGTGTGTGTTGACAAAGTGTGTGTGGACAAAGTGTGTGTGGACAAAGTGTGTGAGGACAA